TAAGCAAACCCAATTAAAATTCCATGTTATAGTACATCGAGAACGTGATTAGTCTAATATTTTTCCGGGTTATTCTTCTTGTACATAATGGGCACCATAATGGTGTCCATAATGGATACATGGTGCCCATTCATTGGAGGGAGTGTTGGCCCATTATGTACCACTAGCACATTCCTATTTTTCCTCATCGTTTGAATTGAACGGTACTGGTAACTAGAAATACAACGGTTTCTTTCAAAACCAGTCAACATCTAAAGTTTTATAGGGAGAGATTTTCAAAGCACTTATGTTTCATCTAGGTTTGAAAATTGTGTATCTAAACATAAAATTTGACTTTGATCAATAAAATATTTAAAACGTGCCCGTAGAATAGATAAAAATCAGATTTTTAATAAATTTAGCACTGGCTTGATGGCCATTATAAAGAGAAATTAAGGAAAAAATAATGTTTTGAATATTGATTTTCTGAAGAATGTATGATTAAAAAGTAAGAAAAAATTTGAATTGACGTACAAAATATTTTACTGTGTAAATGTGTGGTTAAAAATGAATACAAAAATAAAGAATTTTAATTTAATGAAAGTCAAACATTGATGAAATGTGCAATTCAAACGTTGTGGATCAAATAAGAGTTATGCTACACTTACCCAATTTTTTACCAAATCTTTCACACCTCATTCACATTAGGGGGTGAGGACCACATGCCGGAATTTTTAAATACATGTGGGGGCCTCGCTTTTTGTGAGAGAGGGTAAACCATTAGGTAACCCCCATCGACACACTAGATTAATTTATCCAATAATATGTGTCATTAAAATTAATTGTTGATTTTAACTTATATTTAATTAAACTAAAATTTTTAGGTGAACTAAACATAGACATACAAAAAATATAGAAATTATCTACTAAACAATGTTACATGTTATTTCTATTCATTAGTATAAAGTTTCCAAAATTAAATTAAATTGATTGAATTGAGTACCAATCTACAAAGGTTTGTCACCCGGACCTGGTCAGTGTGGCCTCCTTTGTGAGGAGGCCGTCTGGAAATTACGTGACTATTTTTTCGAGTTTTTTTAGAACAATCATGCTACTTGTACTTTTTTTTTTTTACAATCATAGTTGACTCACACTTGACAACATCACCCACATTCATCAATTTTAAAAATTATTTTTTAATCAATTGTTAATTATAAATTATATTTTTTATATTATGTCACGTGACAACAAATGTAATGTTTTACACCAGAAAAGTAAACAATCCACGGATATGAAAAAGAAAAACCAAACAGC